CCCATTCCCCCTGCAGATGGGCTCGCCACCTTCCATAGCTTCCTGCGCTCTGAGTTCAGCGAGGAAAATGCCGAGTTCTGGATGGCCTGCGAGGACTACAAGAAAACCAAGTCCCCCGTGAAGCTGGTGGAGAAAGCCAAGAAGATCTACGAGGAGTTCATCCAGACCGACGCACCCAAGGAGGTCAGTGCTGCGAGGCGGGAGCTGGTGCCTGGAGGGGCACGGGGGCTGCCGAAGGACCACCATGGCTGCAGGGCACCCGTACCATGACCAAGGAGCGCAGAGGGCTGTACCCTCGGTGAAAGGCAGCCCCATCCCCGCGGGCTGTGCCCCCACCCCTTGCAGTCCCAGTGCCCCCATTCAGGTGCTCAGCCTCTCCCGCAGGTGCCTGCCTGTCCCCCATCCCACTGAGAGCTCACGTTGGTCACAGGGGATGACAATCCATGGTAGCCCAAGCCCCAGGGTCACCTTTGCTGCAGGACAGACCTCATCCTTCGTGGCAGGTTCGCCAGCAGTGGTTCCCCCAGAGAAGCGAAGCTGCTCCAGTCCCTCCCCATGACCTCTGCACGGGTGCTGGTGGGACAGAGCGGGCGAGGGGAGATGCCATCACCCGCCCCCCACAGAGGCAGGGTCCCCAGCCCTCTGACGCTCCCGTCACAGGTGAACATCGACCACTTCACCAAGGCCGTGACCATGAAGAACCTGGTGGAGCCGACACCAAGTAGCTTTGACATGGCCCAGAAGAGGATCTTTGCCCTGATGGAGAAAGACTCCCTGCCCAGATTCGTGCGGTCGGAGTTCTATCAGGAGTTAATAAAGTAGCAACACGGCAGGGCTGCGCGATGCGTTCCCTGCAGGCGGTCCCACTGCTTCTGTCCAGACACCTGCCCCTTCTCCTGCAGCCGCTTTGCTTTCTCGTTACCACCCTAAAAGGACACCCAGGGGTGTCGCTAAACATCCCCCCTGTGCTTTGGACTGCCAGACATCCTGGTGTCTCCTCTCTTTACAGTCTCTTTCCTCTCCCACAACAGCCCCATTGGCAGAACCCCTGGTGATTCCCCGGGGGTCTGGGACCCAGGAGGGTGGTGGAGCAGCCCCAGCCCCACAGCAACTGGGAGCCGCTCCGGCAGCTGGCACATCCTGGCGCCGTGGGGCTCGGCTTTAGCCAGAGGCGCTGGGGCATCAGCTCTGCCTTCTGTAGGACTTCTTAGGACATGACCATTTTTCTCCCAGTTTTGCC